GGACAACTTAGAGAGGAATATGAGTGAACTGATGGAGCTGGAAAACATAACACGAGAACTTCACGAAGCATGCACAAGTTTCAACAGCTGAACTGACCAAGCAGAAGAAAGGATATCAGAGGTCGAAGATAACTCAACGAAATAAAATGAGAAGGCAAGATTAGAGAAAAAAGCGCAAAAAGGAATGAACAAAGTCTTCAAGAAACGTGGGACTATGTGAAGAGACCTAATCTACGTTTGATAGGTGTACCTGAATATGACGTGAATATATATGGACCCAATACAGGAGCATCCAGATATATAAGGCAAGTTCTTAATGACTTAAAGAGAATGAATCCAAGCTGGAAAACACTCTTCAGGATATTATCCAGGAAAACTTCCCCAACATAGCAAGGCAGGCCAATATTCAAATCCAGAAATACAGAGACCACCACAGAGATATTCCTCAAAAAGAGCAACCCCAAGGCACATAATCGTCTGATTCACCAGGGTTGAAATGAAGGAGAAAATGCTACAGGCAGCCAGAGAAAAAGGTCGGGTTACCCACAAAGGGAAGCCCATCAGACTCACAGCAGATCTCTTGGCAGAAACCCTATAAGCCAGAAGAGAGTGGGGGCCAATATTCAACATCCTTAAAGAAAAGAACTTCCAACCCAGAATTTCATATCCAGCCAAACTGAGCTTCATAAGTGAAGGAAAAGTAAAATCCTTTGCGAACAAGCAAGTACTCAGAGATTTTGTCACCACCAGGCCTGCTTCACAAGACCTCCTGAAAGAGGCACTACACATAGAAAGAACGACCAGTACCAGCCACTCCAAAAACATACCAAATGCACAAGAGCATCAACAAAATGAAGAATCTGCATCAACTAACGAGCAAAACAGCCAGCTATAATCAAAATGGCAGTATCAAATTCACACATAACAATATTAACCCTAAATGTAAATCTAAATGCACCAATCAAAAGACACAGACTGGCAAATTGGATAAAAAACCAAAACCCATCGGTGTGCCGTATCCAGGAAACCCATCTCACATGCAAGGATACACAAAGGCTCAAAATAAAGGGATGGAGGAAGATTTACCTAGCAAATGGAGAGCAAAAAAAAAGTAGGAGTTGCAATTCTCGTCTCTGATAAAATAGACTTTAAAGCAACAAAGATCAAAAGAGACAAAGAATGACATTACATAATGGTAAAAGGATCGATACAACATGAAGAGCTAACGATCCTAAATATATATAGACCCAATACAGGAGCACCCAGATATATAATAGAAGTTCTTAATGACTTACAAAGAGAGTTAGACTCCCACACAATAATAGTGGGAGACTTTAACACTCCACTGTCAATATTAGACAGATCAACCAGACAGAAAATTAACAAGGATATCCAGGACTTCAACTCAGACCTGGAACAAGCAAACCTGATAGACATTTACAGAACTCTCCACCCCAAATCCACAGAATATACATTCTTCTCAGCACCACATCACACCTACTCTAAAATTGATCACATAATTGGAAGTAAATCACTCCTCAGCAAATGCAAAAGAACGGAAATCATAACAAACAGTCTCTCAGACCACAGTGCAATCAAGTTAGAACTCAGAATTCAGAAACTAACTCAGAACCGCACAGCTTCATGGAAACTGAACAACTGGCTTTTGAATGTTGACTGGATAAACAATGAAATGAAGGCAGAAATAAAGAAGTTCTTCGAAACCAACGAGAATGAGGACACAACATACCAGAATCTCTGGGACACATTTAAAGCAGTCTCTAGAGGAAAATACATAGCAATAAGTGCCCACATGAGAAGAAAGGAGAGATCCAAGATTGACACCCTATAGTCAAAATTGAAAGAGCTAGAGGAGCGAGATCAAAAAAACTCAAAACCTAGCAGAAGACAAGAAATAACTAAGATTAGAGCAGAACTGAAGGAGACAGAGACACACAAAAACCCTTCAAAAAATCAATAAATCGAGGAGCTGTTTTTTTGAAAAGATCAACAAAATAGATCACTAGCCAGATTAGTAAAAAAGAAAAGAGAGAATAACCAAATAGATGCAATAAAAAATGATATAGGAGAAATCACCACAGATTCCACAGAAATTCAAACCATCATCAGAGAATATTAAAAACAACTCTATGCACATAAACTAATAAACCTGGAAGAAATGGATAAATTCCTGGACACTTGTGTCCTCCCAAGCCTAAACCAGGAAGAAGTCAAAACTATGAATAGACCAATAACAAGATCTGAAGTTGAGGCAGCAATTTAAAAAGCCCAGGTCCAGATGGGTTCACAGCCGAATTCTACCAGACACACAAAGAAGAACTGTTACCACTCCTCCTAAAACTATTCCAAATAATCCAAAAAGAGGGAATCCTTCCCAAATCATTGTATGAGACCAACATCATCCTGATACCAAAACCCGGCAGAGACTCAACAAGAAAAGAAAACTTTAGGCCAATATCCATGATGAACATAGATGCAAAAAATCTTCAATAAAATACTGGCAAGCTGATTGCAACAGCACATCAAAAAGCTTATCCACCATGATTAAGTAGGATTCATCCCAGGGTTGCAAGGCTGGTTCAACATATGCAAGTCTATAAACGTAATTCACCACATAAACAGAACCAAAAACAAAAACCACATGATTATCTCAATTGATGCAGAGAAGGCCTTTGACAAAATTCAACAGCCCTTTATGCTAAAAACCCTCAATAAATTCGGTATTGATGGAACGTATCTCAAAATAATAAAAGCTATTTACGACAAACCAACAGCCAATATCATACTGAATGGGCAAAAACTGGAAGCATTCCCTTTGAAATCCGGCACTAGACAAGGATGCCCTCTCTCACCACTCCTATTCAATATAGTACTGGAAGTTCTAGCCAGAACAATTGGGCAAGAAAAAGAAATAAAGGGTATTCAAATAGGAAAGGTGGAAGCCAAATTGTCTCTATTTGCAGACGACATGATAATATATCTAGAAGACCCCACCATCTCAGCCCAAAAACTTCTGAAACTGATAAGCAACTTCAGCAAAGTCTCAGGATATAAAATCAATGTTCAAAAGTCACACGCATTCGTCTACACCAATAACAGACTTAAAGAAAGCCAAATCAAGAACCAACTGCCATTCACAATTGCTACAAAGAGAATAAAATACCTAGGAATACAACTAACAAGGAACGTAAAGGACCTCTTCAAGGAAAACTACAAACCACTGCTCAACGAAATAAGAGAGGACACAAACAGATGGAGAAACATTCCATGTTCATGGTTAGGAAGAATCAATATTGTGAAAACGGCCATACTGCCCAAAGTAATTTACAGATTCAATGCTATCCCCATGAAGCTATCAATGACCTTCTTCACAGAACTGGAAAAAACCACCATGAACTTCATATGGAACCAAAAGAGAGCCCACATAGCCAAGTCAATTCTAAGCAAAAAGAACACAACGGGAGGCATCACACTACCAGACTTCAAACTATACTACAAGGCTACAGTAATCAAAACAGCATGGTACTGGTACCAAAACAGAGATATAGACCAATGGAACAGAACAGAGGCATTGGAGACAACACAACATATCTACAACCTTATAATCTTGGATAAACCTGACAAAAACAAGCAATGGGGAAAGGATTCCCTGTTTAATAAATGGTGTTGGGAAAACTGGCTAGCCATGTGCAGAAAGCAGAAACTGGACCCCTTTCTGACACCTTACACTAAAATTAACTCCAGATGGATTAAAGACTTAAACATACGACCTGGCACCATAAAAACCCTAGAAGAAAATCTAGGCAAAACCATTCAGGACATAGGAGTAGGCAAGGACTTCATGACCAAAACACCAAAAGCATTGGCAACAAAAGCCAAAATAGACAAATGGGACCTAATCAACCTCCACAGCTTCTGCACGGCAAAAGAAACGGTCATTAGAGTGAATTGGCAACCAACAGAATGGGAAAAAATTTTTGCAGTTTACCCATCTGACAAAGGGCTGATATCCAGAATTTACAAAGAACTAAAACAGATTTACAAGGAAAAAACAAACAAGCCCATTCAAAAATGGGCAAAGGATATGAACAGATACTTTACAAAAGAAGACATACATGAGGCCAACAAACATATGAAAAAATGCTCATCATCACTGGCCACTAGAGAAATGCAAATCAAAACTACATTGAGATACCATCTCACGCCAGTTAGAATGGCAATCATTAAAAAATCTGGAGACAACAGATGCTGGAGAGGACGTGGAGAAATAGGAACACTTTTACACTGCTGGTGGGAATGTAAACTAGTTCAAACATTGTGGAAGATAGTGTGGCGATTCCTCAAGGACCTAGAAATAGAAATTCCCTTTGACCCAGCAATCCCATTACTGGGTATATATCCAAAGGACTATAAATCGTTCTACTATAAGGACACATGCACACGAATGTTCATTGCAGCACTGTTTACAATAGCAAAGACCTGGAACCAACCCAAATGCCCATTGATGATAGACTGGACAGGGAAAATGTGGCACATATACACCATGGAATATTATGCAGCAATCTAAAACGATGAGTTCGTATCTTTTGTAGGGACATGGATGAATCTGGAGAACATCATTCTCAGCAAACTGACACAAGAACAGAAAATGAAATACTGCATGTTCTCACTCATAGGCGGGTGATGAACAATGAGAACACATGGACACAGGGAAGGGAGTACTACACACTGGGGTCTGTTGGGGGGAATACGGGAGGGACAGCGGGAGGGGCGGGAGTTGGGGAGAGATAGCATGGGGAGAAATGCCAGATGTGGGTGAAGGGGAGGAAGGCAGCAAAACACACTGCCACGTGTGTACCTATGCAACTATCTTGCATGTTCTGCACATGTACCCCAAAACCTAAAATGCAATAAAAAAAAAGAAAATTGATACACAGTGATCTTCCCCCATGTGAAATCTGGTCAAATAAAGTATGTACGTTTCGAAGTGTGCATGTTTGCCCACTTTCTCTTCTAATTTCTCCAAGAAACTCAAGTCTGTAGCCGGACCAGGACGAATGCATTCTTCATCCTTCAAAAGAAAAAGAGAAGTCTCAATCCACAGCACCACACTCCATCAATGCCAACTTGAAATGTTTTCACCGGCTGGACCAGAAAGTACTAGACTAAAAGATTGTCATTTCATAAGTGCAGGTGAACATTCTGGGGGAAGGAAGGGGCTTATCTAAGTGCTCAGCTTCTCAAGTTTGATAAGGGGACCATGGAACCAGAGTGCCTGAATATCCCATGAAAAGTCAACTCTCCCACCATCTGACTCAAAGTCTTTCCAAAGATCCTCCACAGTTACTAGGATGGGCTCCATGTCAGCCTCATTTTCTCTAAAGCAGTCATCACTGACCGCAACCACAATGTGTACAGACTTGTTGTGGAAGAAAAGCCCTCATGGAAAGAAAGGTATAGAACCAGTCAAGTTTCATGTTTTGGAAGTTCATCTTTCTATTTCCTATTTTTCATCCTCAAGAATGATACCATTTGTGGCCGGGCACGGTGGCTCAAGCCTGTAATCCCAGCACTTTGGGAGGCCGAGGCGGGTGGATCACGAGGTCAAGAGATTGAGACCATCCTGGTCAACATGGTGAAACCCCGTTTCTACTAAAAATACAAAAAATTAGCTGGGCATGGTGGCGTGTGCCTGTAATCCCAGCTACTCGGGAGGCTGAGGCAGGAGAATTGCCTGAACCCAGGAGGCGGAGGTTGCGGTGAGCCGAGATCACGCCATTGCATTCCAGCCTGGGTAACAAGAGCGAAACTCCGTCTCAAAAAAAAAAAAAAAGAATGATACCATTTAGTTGACCATCTTAAAAAATTACAGATGTGGCCGGGTGAACTTGTTCACACCTATAATCCCAGCATTTTGGCAAGCCAAGATGGGAGGAGATCAGCCTGGGCCACATGGTGAAACCCTGTCTCTACAAAAATTTAAAAACTTAGCCAGGTGTGGCGGTTATACCTGTGTAGTCTCAGCTACCCAGGAGGTTGAGGTGGGAGGATTGCTTGAACCCAAGAGTTAGAGACCTCCCTGGCTCAACACGCCCCCCCCACTTTTACTGAGATAGAATCTTGCTCTGTCACCCAGGCTGGAGTGCAGTGGCATGATATTGGCTCACTGCAACCTCCACCTCCTGGTTTAAGCAATTCTCCCACCTCAGCCTCCCAAGTAGTTAGGGTGACAGGCACATGCCACTATGCCTGGCTAATTTTTGTATTTTCAGTAAAGACAGGGTTTCACCATGTTGGTCAGGCTGCTCTTGAACTCCTGACCTCAGGCAATCCACTTGCCTCAGCCTCCCAAAGTGCTGGGATTACAGGCGTGAGCCACTGCACCTGGCCTGGCTCAACCCTTTTTAAGCCTGGGAGAAGGTTCTTCTAGGAGTTGTAAATGTGGGTGAACAGGCTCTAATTCAACATTAATTTTTCTCACCAGAATGGATATGATTCCTTTGTGTCTCTCTTCTACCAAATCACAGATGATCTTGTTGTTGAAATATTGAATTGGCTCCCACTAAAATGACAAAGAGGAACAAATTCTCCAAGATTCAGATGAGCATAAAAGATTGGTTTTAAATGGGTTTTCTAAAACATCTTCTTTCAAAATCTAGTTTTTACATTCAACCTCAAACAAATTATATTTTCTGAATATCAAAACAATTTCTCAGGAAATAAGCAGAGGAGGACGAAAGAATTAATCCTCAGTACTAATCAGGAAAATCATCAATGAAATAATATTTCAATTAAATGTCTTTAGTGGTTGGGCACAGTGACTCACACCTGTAATCCCAGCACTCTGGGAGGTTGAGGCAGGAAGATCACTTGAGTCCAGGAGTTTGAGAACAGCCTGAGCAACATAGAGAGACCCTGTCTCTACAAAACAAACAAACAAACAAAAAAAAACAATTAGCCAGGGGTGGTGGTATGTGCCTGTGGTCCCAGCTACTCAGGAGGCTGAGGCAGGAGGATCACTCGAGCCGAGGAGGTGGAGGTTGCAACGAACCCTGATTGTGCCACTGCACTCCAGCCTGGGCGACAGAGTGAGACCCTGTCTCAAAACACTAAAATCAACTAAATTTTGAAAAACGTCTTTAGCCAGATTAAGAAATCAAATGAGAAAACATGAAAATGTTTACCTCTATGCCTTCCATTTCATATTCTGCCTGTTCTGCTTTTAGAGTCCTCTCAATTAACAGTTGCTGGAGTTTCTCGTTGCAGTAATTTATACAGAACTGTTCAAAACTAGAGATACACAAGATTTAAATAACTAAAGTTACATGAAAATAACAATAAAATAATTATATTCTTGGCTGGGCAGGGTGGCTCAACACCTGTAATCCCAGTACTTTGGGAGGCTGAGGTGGGTGGATCACGAGGTCAGGAGTTCAAGACCAGCCTGGCCAACATGGCGAAACCCTGTCTCCATTACAAATACAAAAAAAGAAGAAAATAACCAGGCGTGGTGGCAGGCACCTGTAATCCCAGCTACTTGGGAGGCCGAGGCAAAGAATTGCTTGAACCTGGGAGGCAGAGGTTTCAGTGAACTGAGATCATGCCACTGCACTCCAGCCTGGGCAACAGAGTGACACTCTGTCTCAAAAAAAACAAAAACAAAAACAAAAACAACTTACATTCTTTTAAAAGATGCTTTTTAATGAAGAAAAAGCAAAGTCCTTATTAATAACAATTTACTAAATAGATCATAAGAGTCAAGCGAAAATATACTTGCATTTTTATGGTTATTCTACATCTAGGCTGGTCTGTGAATTAGAAACTGTAAATCTAGGCAGTTCCTGGGACAGGAAAATCAAGCCAGTAACATTAGCAAATGACTTAAATCTCAAGACAGGTAGGTAGGGAATGGTAAACATACCCATTCTTGTCGAAGACTTCAAACCCATATATGTCGAGTAATCCAATCACAGTTTTCCTGGTGAAATCCTGGTCAAAATAACAACCCATTCATAGTTAGATCTTTTCCTCTGTGCTACTCAAAACTCTGTAGCTGCCTCCAAACTGGGACTTGGTGCTAAAGCTCGTGTCTCCTCTGTCTCCAGCAATACAGAAGAGCCTTTGGGTGGAAATCACTTCCCAGCCTGCTGCTCCTGCCTGCTCAGATCCCACTGCGGCTTCCATAGCCATCATCTGTGTAGTGACACCTTCCCCTCCGCACCGATTTTTTTTTTTTTTTTGAGATGGAGCCTCGCTCTGTCGCTCAGGCCAGAGTGCAGTGGTACGATCTCAGCTCACTGCAACCTCCGCCTTCCGGGTTCCAGTGATTCTCTTGCCTCAGCCTCCTGAGTAGCTGGGACTGCAGGTGTGCACCACCACATCCAGCTAATTTTTTGTATTTTTTAGTAGAAACGGGGTCTCACCATATTGGCCAGGCTGGTCTGGAACTCCTGACCTGACCTGCTTTGGCTTCCCAAAGTGCTGGGATTACAGGTGTGAGCAACCAAGCCCAGCCGACCTTCTCCTTCTGATTCACTTCTTTGCTTCAGCTGTCCTTAACCTCCCAAGCCCACGTACAATAAAAAAAAAAAAAAAAGGACCTATAGATAGACAAGAAGATGCCTATCTAATTAAGAGAACCAACAGGCCAGGGTGAGTATTTAAAGATAATGTGTTTATTTCAGGTAGGGTGCGGTGGCTCATGTCTGTAATCCTGGCACTTTGGGAGGCCAAGGCAGGCAGATCACTTGTGGCTAGGAGTTTGAGACCACCCTGGCCAACATGGCCAAACCCTGTCTCTACTAAAAAATTACAAAAATTAGCAAGGCATAGTGGTGTGCACCTGTAATCCCAGCTACTAGAGAGGCTGAGGCACAGGGCACAAGAATCACTTGAACCTGGGAGGTGGAGGTTGCAGTGAGCCAAGATCACACTACTGCACTCCGGCCTGGATGACAGAGCCAGACTCCATCCCAAAAAAAAAAGATAATTTAACAAAATCATCTATAAAATAATATTTATTTTGTTTTAAAGGGACACAATTAAATCCTCTGAGTGTCCTAAGTTGCTGCCTCCAAAATCATCTTCTGTGTCCACCCTCCCTGAGTTTTGTTACATCCATGTATCCCTCCCCATTCACCTACCATTTCCTTAATTTTTAACTTGGGTTAAATCCCATTTTTTATTTAAATAATTCCACTTGAAAAGGAAACATGACTGAAGTGTGAGTTTGAAGGGCTAGTTTTATTTTTTCTTAAACATGTTAAAATGTGCTACTGTTGAAATTTTTAAAATGTCAGGTGAATATATTACTATTGACATTTAAACATTTGTGGCAGTTCATGCCTGTAATCCCAGCACTTGGTAGGCAACAGTGGGAAGATGGCTTGAGCCTGGGGTTCGAAACCAGCTAGACAACACGGCAAGACCTCACCTCTGCAAAAAAACTTCTAAAATTTAGCCGGGCATGGTGGCATGCAACAGTAGTTCCTGCTATTCAGGAGGCTGAGGCAGGAGGACTGCTTGAGCCCAGGAGCTGGGGGCTGCAGTGGGTTATGATTGCACCACTGCACTCCAGCCTGAGTGACAGAACGAGATCTTGTCTCTAAAAAATAAAAAGTTTAGGCTGGCCGCGGTGGCTCAAGCCTGTAATCCCAGCACTTTGGGAGGCCGAGGCGGGTGGATCACGAGGTCAAGAGATCGAGACCATCCTGGCCAACATGGTGAAACTCCGTCTCTACTAAAAATACAAAAAAATTAGCTGGGCATGGTGGCGCGTGCCTGTAATCCCAGCTACCCAGGAGGCTGAGGCAGGAGAATTGCCTGAACCCAGGAGGCGGAGGTTGAGGTGAGCCGAGATCGCGCCATTGCATTCCAGCCTGGGTAACAACGGCGAACCTCTGTCTCAAAAATAAATAAATAAATAAATAATAAAAAAAAGTATCTGTGCACACCCGAAGCCATCTGGCATACTACAAGGGCAATGCATAGCACACTTTGGGACACACTGTGCAAGTTATTGGGCATGCATTCCTACTGCATTCTACATACCGGAAATGTGAATAGGGAAAGACGCCAGCCCCACCCACGAGGCGCCACAGTCCATTCTCCCTCCCAAATTCTTTAAAGGAACTATGATGATCATAAAACATCACCACATTAGTGAGAGCAAGGTATCCAAAATGTGTTGACCAACCTTGTTAACTAAGGAGGAATTGATTTTGTTGACCAGCCAAGTAAATGTTCGGCCGTAAACAGCCTTTGCCATTGCATCTCTAGCGTAGACAGAGAGTTCTAGTGTCAATGGGCAGATCACCTGAAAAGAATGACAAGGTGCATCATTATAGATGGAAAAAAAGAAGCCCCCAGAGTGTTCAAACTATTCTTTAAAAAAATAAGGAGAGAGGGTCTCACTCTGCTGCCCAGCCTGGAATACAGTGGCACAGTCATAGCTCACTGCAGCCTCTAACTCCTGGACTCAAGTGATCCTCCCACCTCAGTCTTCCGAGTAGCTGGGACTACAGGTGCCCACCACCACGCCCTGATAATTTTTAAATTTTTTGTAGAAATGTGGTCTAGCCATGTTGCCCAGGCTGGTCTCGAACTCATGGACTCAAGCAATCTTCCCACTGCATCCTCCCAAAGTGATTACAGGTATAAGCCGCCACAGCCAGCCTCGAACTAGTGTTGACTGATGACTGGCAAAGGATACATGCTGGGAAGATACTACTCTTGCCTTTGGTTCACATGATGGCTCTTTCTTGAGTGCCCACTGTGTGCCAGGCACTGTGCTGCGCTGCCGAGATACAGCTACAACCCAGACACATGGTCCTGACCTTCATGGACTCACCGTTCATTTCAGGGTAGGGAGGGATGGAGAGACATTCAAAGAATCACACAGTCATGTTGAAAGGGCTACAAGGAGATACATATGGTGCTTTGAGGTAGAGGTGAAAGGATCAGAGGAGGCTCCTTGGGGAATTGACCCCCAAGAGATGAAAAATGAAGGGGAGTTAACTAGATGAAGCCTCGGGAACAGTGTTCCAGCAGAAGGAGCAGCATGTGCAGCCTCCTGTGGAGGAAACAGCATGTGCAAAGGCTCCTGTACAGGGACTATGAGCTGTAGACGGCTAACATTGGTGTGGTGGTGATGGGGAGGATGAAGCAGGAGACCCCGCAGGAGCTGGACCACGCAGCGCCTGGTGAGCTAGGATCAAAGGTATGGCCTCCCCTGAGGCCACCATCCTGCTGTTATCAGAGGGAGGCAGCAGCAGCAGGGAGGGCCAGCACATTTCCACCTAGAGCTATTCTTACCTCCTCAGTTTTGGCTTCAATTTTTCTGTGGGTGAGAGCTTCCAGAAGGACTGACGGGTGGACCCCCAGGAGCTGAATGAAGAAATCCAAAGTGCTATTCCGTGACCCAGTTTTACTTGCTCTTTAATATTTTTTTAGAGACAAGGTATGGCTCTGTTGCCCAGGTGGGGGTGTGGTGGCACAATCATAGCTCACTGTAACTTTTTTTTGAGACAGGATCTCACTCTGTCACCCAGGCTGGAGTGCAGTGGCACAATCTCAGCTTACTGCAAACTCTGCCCCCTGGGCTGAAGCGATCCTCTCACCTCAGCCTTCTGAGTAGCTGGGACTACAGTTCTGTGCCACTAATTATAGCTATTTCTTTTTTTTAGAGATGGGGTCTCACTACATTGCCCAGGTTGGAGTGCAGTGGCATGATTGTGGCTGACTTAAATTTCTGGCCTCAAGCTATCCTCCCGCCTTGGCCTCCCAAAGCACTGGAATCACAGGCATGAGCCATTGCGCCTGGCCTACTCACTAGCTTATAGAGTTCATGGAGTATCCAGGCCCAGCGTTATCTGCCCAGACTAATTGTTGTGCTTCAGTACAAAACAGACAACAACAGATCCTTCAACCAACTGGCTTTTACTCCCTCCCTTTCCCCCAAACCCTCACTCTTTAAACCTCCTAATCAATATCAGCCAAAAGAGCATGTCACCAGACATTCAGGCCTAACTGTGGGCATCCAGCTCCCTCACTCTCCTCTCCCACCCCTCCGCCTCCCTCTGTCCTCTCCAAAAGGGGAACATCACCTTGGCGATCCACTTGATCTCGCTGGTGTCTGGGATAGTGGCACAGCCTTGGTCATCTTCTTCAAAACCAATGTTCCCCAGGTGTAAGACACTGGCAATGATTCCAAAGAGATTCTGGGAACATGGGAAGTGTTCAGAGACAGGAGATCAGGAGGACAGGGAAAGAGACGGTAGCTGACTAACTGATACATGTCATTAGCGGAGACATCTGAAGGAAAACCCCCTATCCCAACTCCAGACCTGAGCTCACAGAACCAAGCCCTCCTCCTTCCCCAGAAATTGGCCCTGTTGTTCACTTCAGATGCTAAGGGAAGAGGGAAACAGTCTCACTCAATGTCCAGCACGGAACACTTTATTTTCATATAACAACAACAAATACATACATTTTTCATAAAATAAACCACTTTTATAAAATACTTTCTAAAATAAGTCCCACTAATGAACCCATTTAATTTTCAAATACCATGAGCGATCTATCTATAAAATACTTTCTAAAGTAAATCCCAGTAATGAACTCATTTAATTTTCAAATACCATGAGCTATCTATCTATCTATCTATCTATCTATCTATCTATCTATCTATCTATAAGTTTTTTAGAGACAGGGTTTTGCTCTGTCACCCAGGCTGGAGTCCAATGGTGCCATCATAGCTCACTGCAGCCTCAACCTCCTGGGCTCAAGCGATCCTCCCACCTCAGCCTCCTGTGTCTGGGACTACCAGCATACATCACCATGCCTGGCTAAAGTTTTTTTTCGTAGAGGCAGGGTCTCACTAGGTTGCCCAGGCTGGTCACAAACTCCAAGCCTCAAGCAATCTTTCTACCTCAGCCTCCCAAAGCATCAGGATTACAGGTGTGAGCCACTGCACCTGGGCTCAGATATATAAGTTTTTAAATTACATTCTGCCCCTTGAAAGATTGATAGTTTAAAAATCAAAATGAATAAAAAGATGTAAAAACAAAGTTTATACATTCTACAATTTGTTCCAGTTTGTGCCAAAATGGAAGCCTCAATAAATGAGAATCCTGTAATTTTATGGCATTTAAATTGTTGCGACTGGACTTACCTTAGGGGAGAAAAAAACCTGACTCCTCCTCCTTGTCAGATATAACCCACAGTTAATATTTAAATTTCAAACTTCCAATACTTTTGTAATATAAGTTTGCCCACATGCAATAATTGGAACATGATTATATTAAAAAACTCTTCACTGTTTACCTGAAATTCATATGTAACTGGGCATCCTGTATTTTTGTTTGTTTTTCTGAGACAGAGTCTTGCTCTGTGACCCAGGCTCAAGTACAGTGACATGATCTCGGCTCACTGCAACCTCTGCCTCCCGGGTTCAAGCAATTCTTCTGCCTCAGCCTCCCAAGTAGCTGGGACTACAGGTACATGCCAACACGCCCAGCTAATTTTTGTACTTTTTTAGTAGAGATGAGGTTTCACCACATTGGCCAGGCTGGTCTCAAATTCCTGACCTCAAGTGATCCGCCCACCTTGGCCTCCCAAAGTGCTGGGATTACAGGTGTGAGCTACTGCACCTGGCTGCATCCTGTATTTTTATTTGTTGAATCCAGCAACTGTATTATGCAAACACCAAGAAACCAGGAGTGTTTCCTCAGTCCCAGAGGAAACTGTCGGCTCTGCTGCAAGAGCACATACCTCGAGGTCAGCTTCAGTAAAATCAATGACAGAAAAGGCACTGGAAACAGTTTTCCAGTCATTCTTGTCATTAATGGATGACTCTTTGGCATAATGACCCTGTTGACAAAAAGTTTGAGTCACTTAACGTCATTTTATAGGGGCAATTAAGCATGTGCATGTCTGTTTTTCTCTGAAGATGCAAAAGCTAGTCCTATACTGTACTGAATTGCAAATAAAAATAGGTTTTGCTCTAATTGTCTAGCATATAATTATTTGACAACTGTTGCTTTTTTTTCAAATTTATTTGGAATTGTAATTTGGAATTTAATTTCAAGAAATATCTGCTGAAATATTCAGGGAAATTACGGTGCTTAAAATCAGAAACTCTTGACTCACTTATAAATTACCAGCAAAAATTTCACTTCAGGACTAAATGCAAGAAGGCCTTCCCGCAAGGAAATAAAAGGTTGGCATTTAGAGAAACAGAGGTTTTGTGAAAATGATCACAAGCAGAGGCTTTTCCCATAACTCCAGAAGTTATCTTTTAATTAACAGACTGATTTAAAGAGAAAAGTCCTAGACAAATGTTTATTATTTTGCTTTTGGGGTACAGGGTGTTCCTAGTCTCCTGGTTATCTGAAGATCTGTTTTCTTAAAAGATTTCTTCATTGCATGGGGGAAATCAGATGTGTCATACCACGAAAATATTTCCTGGTGAAGTGGCCGATATAAAATTTGCAACCTCACAAACCTTGCCACACAACCAGCAACATCTGTTCCTGCCTCCGAAGGGATGGGTCTGTGCAAATCAGTCTCGCTCCAAACCTGTTGGTTTGAAAGCAGTACAAATACACTACAAAGTGAAGCCATGAAGTTTACTGACGTTATGAGAGATCATGAACATTTTTTTTTTTTTTTTGAGATAGTCTCACTCTGTCACCAGGCTGGAGTGTAGTGGTGCAATCTTGGCTCACTGCAACTTCTGCCTCCCAGGTTCCAGTGATTCTCCTGCCTCAGCCTCCTGAGTAGCTTGGATTACAGGTGCACACCACCATGTCCAGCTAATTTTTGTATTTTTAGTAGAGATGGGGTTTTACCATGTTGGCCAGGCTGGTCTCGATCTCTTGATCTCGTGATCCTCCCGCCTCAGCCTCCCAAAATTCTGGATTACAGGCGTGGGCCACCATGCCCGGCTGGCTTGGTTTTAAAATAATAGTGGCAAATTGATAGACCCATTTCCAAAGCCCCTGATGTGTAAGGATCTAGTTGAATTAATGTGGCCAGAAAAAAATCTGCAAGAGTAAAGACATGATGTATTCTAAAAGATAATGATTTAATCATCCAAGGGCTAGAGAAGCCCCTGGGAAAATGGATAAAAACCCTCAAATATTTTTACAAACTGACCCTTTCTGATCATGCTATGGGAATGCAAACATGATGTGTCCATATAGCTCTGTTGGGAAAATAAAGCCCTCCAAAAAGAAAAACACATCACATTTCATTCATTCTTTGTCCTAGTAATTAGTTCAGAGTTTGTTTAGTATAAAATTAAAGTATGAGATTCTTTCTTTTCATTATTTAGCTTCATTTTTCTTTTTTATTTCTATTTTAAAAATACATTTAGAGTTGGGGTCTTGCGCTTCATTGCTCAGGCTGGTCTGAAACTCCTGGACTCAGGCGATCCTCCCGCCTCGGCCTCCCAAAGTGCTGGGATTATAGGTGTGAGCCACCATGCCCAGCCTGTCTGCATTTTTCAAGGTCAACTTCAGTTAAGCCTTCTTTTCTTCTATGATTTCTAGGAAGTATTGATCCTCATTTTATGAGGTTCATTTTAGAAGATCTCATTTTCTCTCTTAAATGATGCCCTAATCTACCCTCTACAAAGTGGCCTCCATTCAAAGCCAGGCCAAGTGAGAAGAGAAAAATTAAAAACTGTCGAGACAAAAAAGGTGTTAATGACGTTGAATACTGATAAGTGCCATACAATCTGGGCATTCTAGGACACTAGTGCAGGCTTCAGAAAAACAAACATTGCAAGGTTACATTCTGACAGTCAATTTTATAACACTAGAGCCTAGGCTTGCTTATAGAATGGCCTCAGCTAGTTCTGTAAGGCAGTGTGTTCATTTGGCAGCAAACAGTTGTCAAGATGGAAGGCATTAACATGGGAAAAGATCTTTTTAAAAGTAGTTTACAGTGGCTCACACCTGTAAACTCAGCACTTTGGGAGGCCGAGGCGGGCAGATCTCTTGAGCTCAGGAGTTTGAGATCAGCCTGGGCAACATGGAGAAACCCTGTCTCTACAAAAACTACAAAAATTAGCCAGGTGGCTGGGTGCGATGGCTCACGCCTGTAATCCCAGCACTTTGGGAGGCTGAGGTGGGTAGATCATGTCAGGAGATTGGGACCATCCTGGCCAACCTGGTGAAACCCTGTCTCTTCTAAAATACAAAAAAATTGGCTTGGAGTGGTGGTGACCACCTGTAGTCCCAACTATTTGGGAGGTTGAGGCAGGGGAATCACTTGAACCCAGAAGGTGGAGATTGCAGTGAGTCGAGTTTGTGCCACTCCACTCCAGGCTGGCAACAGAGCAAGACTCCGTCAAGAAAAAAAAAAAAAATTAGCTAGGCATGGTACCTCATGCCTGTAGTCTCAGCTACTTGGGAGGCTGAGGTGGGAGGATAACTTGGGCCCTGGAGGTCGAGGCTGCAATGAGCCATGATTGTGCTACTGCACTCCAGCCTGGAGGACAGAGCAAGAATTTGTCTCAAAGAAAAAAAATATATAGTCTGAAAGCAGAATGAGACAGCATAGGTTTTAGACACATTTGGACAGTAAGTATCACACCTAGATCAGCATTTCTCACCTTGGCTGTACATTCGATCACCAGGAGAACATTAAAAATAACTCTGATGCCCAGGTCCTAGCCCAGACCAATGAAACATCAATCGCTGGAGGGTATGGCCCTGGCACTTGTGTTTTTAAAAGGCTCTTCAGGTTATTCTAATTTCAGCCAGGGATGAGAACCAGTTGCCTAGACATTGGTTACTTTACCAAGGTGATACAGCTGCCAGGCACAAGAGGAGATGGATTAGATTGCTTGTGATATGTATCAAGAAATCAGCCAATAGGACACACAGCAGGGTGGTAATAGAACGTCTCAAACATCCCCCAGCAGCCTGTATAAACACCTCTGATCCCCTTGTCCAAAGTGTCACCAAAGCCAGGTGCTGGTCCTTCCCACCTGTGAGAGGTATTTATACAGCCGGGGGTCTCGCTCAAGGCCCAGGTAAGCCAGGCGCTCCTCTTCGCCACCTGCTAGCAGCTGGTAGAAGATGTGGAAATTCCGTTCACCTTGATTTTGGTAGACAACTCGGGACTTCTCTATTAAGTAACTGATGATATGTCCACCTACAGGGATGCCCTTCAAAACAGAACAAAAAATGCAGCAGTGACAATGACAATCAAACCACTCTCTCCTGGCATCTTCTGATGGACCGAACTTCTAAGTTCAAATGAAGTCTGATGTATCAATCTTTTTTTAAAATCTATCAGTCTTCTATCATTAGTATTTTCTGGGTTCTGTTTATAAAGATTTTTGCTTATTCCAAGGCTCTGAAGATAGTTTCTATGTCTTTTTTCTAGAAGCATGATTGTTTAGGATAATGAGCCATCACTAATTTTTGTATATGGGGAGGGGTAGTGGTCAAAGGTCTTTTTATTCATGTTGATATCCAGTTCAAGATAGTTTCTATGTCTTTTTTCTAGAAGCATGATTGTTTAGGATAATGAGCCATCACTAATTTTTGTATATGGGGAGGGGTAGTGGTCAAAGGTCTTTTTATTCATGTTGATATCCAGTTCATCTGTATCATTTATTGGAAAAATGATCTAGTCTCTACTGACTCACAGTGATGCTTCCATTGTAAGTCAGTGACTCTGTTCTTTCTGGACTTTATTCTGATCGACTGTCCTCTTTATCTATCCTTGTGCCAATATCACACTGTCTTAATTAATATTTGCAATAATATATCCAACAAAGGATTTTAATTCCAGAATATGTGGAGAATTCTTGCAAATCATCAGGAAAGAACCGAGAACCCAGTTAAAAAAGACTTGAATGAAAAAGAAAGCCTTTAAGTAGTCAAGAAGCAAAACTTCATCAATTACCAGGGAGATACAAACTTAAATCACAGTGAAAAATCACCACATCCCATCAGAATTTCTCAAAAGGATGAACAATATAAATGTTGGCAAGGGTATGGAGCAGCTGGAACCGTCATTAATTATCCTAACACTGCCTTGCTGGTAAGAACCCCACAATTCCGCTTCTTTAACCCAGTATGAATCTACTGAAGGGCATGTGCAAGGATGATGCAAGCTCTCTGTGTCATGATTCCAAATTGCAAATGGCCCAAATGTCCATCAAAAGGAGAACAGGTAAGTTGTGACATAATCATCAAAAAGTGAACAACTGCTACATGCAAGAACACGGATGTATCTGTCAGATATGCTGACTGAAAAAAGCCAGGCACAAAACAGAACATACTGTGTAATTTCATTCGTATGTGCTTCAGTGGCCAGTGAAATGAACCTGTGATCACAGAAGTCAGCACAGCGGGCAGTGGGACGGGGGAAGTGTTGGGATAGGGCAGGAAAAACTTCTGGATGTTAGAATTTTTCTTCAAGACATAGGGTCTTGCTTGTTGCCCAGGCTGGAGTGCAGTGGCATCACCATGGCTCCTTACAACCTCAAATGCCTGTGCTCAAGCAATTCTCCCACCTCAGCCTCCTGAATAACTGGGACCATAGGCATGTACCACTATGCTTTGTTATTTTATTGTTTTTTGTTTGTTTGTTTGTTTGTTTTGTAGAGACCAGGGTCTCACTATGTTGCCTAGGCTGGTCTTGAACTGCTGGGCTCAAACAATCCTCCTACCTTGACCTCCCAAAGTGCTGGGATTACAGGTGTGAGTCACCATGCCTGGCCTCCAGATGCTAGATTTTTTGTTATTTTTTTTTTTTGAGACAGTGTCTCACTCTCTTGTCTAGGCTGGAGTGCAGTGGCACAATCTGGGCTCACTGAAACCTCTGCCTCCCAAGTTCAAGCAATCTCCTGCCTCAGCCTCCTAAGTAGCTGGGACTAGACATGTGCCACCATGCCTGGCTTTTTTTTTTTGTATTTTTAGTACAGACAGGGTTTCAGCAAGTTGGCCAGGCTGGTCTCGAACTGCTGACCTTAGGTGATCTGCCCACCTCAGCTTCCCAAAGTGCTGGGATTACAGGTGCGAACAACGAAGCCCGGCCTGGATGCTAGAAATTTTTATAGCTTGATGTGGGTGGTGGTTACAGACGTGGATACATATGTAAAAATTCACTGGTCTGCCCTCATGTTTTATGGCCTTTTCAGTATATGTGGTGAACTTCCATAAAAAGTGTTTAAATATGCATAGCTGTTAAATTTCTTTCCAAATCTGCTCCACCAGAGGCCCATATCCTGCCTCTGGGAAATCCTTGAGCCATTCCATCCTCATCATTGAGCTCCATGCTCAGATAGCTGCTGTTCTCCATGCATCATTTTACCACTTGGAATTATGTGCCCTTGAGAATTCTGCCCACCCTTCACCTTGGCCCCACCTAAATTCTGTGTCTAACACAGCCACACTCATTCACGTATGCATTGTCTGCGGCTGCTTTCATGCTCTAAGAGTAGACTTGAGTTGTTGCAACTGTATGGCTGTGTGGCTCACAAAGCCTAAAATATTTACTATCTGGCTCTAAGGCAGCAGATCAGGAGGTCAGGAGATTAAGACCATCCTGGCCAACATGGTGAAACCCCGTCTCTACTAAAAATAGAAAAATTAGCTGGGCATAGTTGTGCATGCTTGTAATCCCAGCTACTTAGGAGGCTGAGGCAGGAGAATTGCTTCAACCAGGGAGTCAGAGGTTGCAGTGAGCCGAGATCGTGCCACTGCACTCCAGCCTGACGACGAGTAAGACTCCATCTTAAAAAAAAAAAAGTGCCGACTCCCTGCTAGGTAAGCAGGCACATGCCTAAACAGTATATTGTTTACTTGTGATTTGCTTTTAGTTTTTTTTGAGACGGAGTTTCACTCTTGTTGCCCAGGCTGGAGTGCAATGGCGTGATCTCGGCTCACCGCAATCTCCGCCTCCTGGGTTCAGGCAATTCTCCTGCCTCAGCTTCCTGAGTAGCTGGGATTACAGGCACGAGCCACCATGCCCAGCTAAATTTTTTTTGTATTTTTAGTAGAGACGGGGTTTCACCATGTTGACCAGGATGGTCTTGATCTCTTGACCTCGTGATCCACCCACCTTGGCCTCCCAAAGTGCTGGGATTACAGGCTTGAGCCACCGTGCCCGGCAGTTTTTTTTTTTTTTTTTTTAAGACAAAGTTTCACTTTTGTTGCACAGGCTGAATGAAGTGCAGTGGCACGATCTTGGCTCACTGCAACTTCTGCCTCCCAGGTTCAAGTGATTGCCTTGCCTCAGCCTCCCGAGTAGCTGGGATTTCAGGTGCCCACCACCATGCCTGGCTGATTTTTTTCTACTTTCTTTTTAGAGACGGGGTTTCACCATGTTGGCCAGGCTGGTCTTGAACTCCTGACTTCAGGTGATCCACCCTCCTTGGTCTCCCAAAGTGTTGGGATTACAGGCATGAGCCACCACGCCTGGCCCTTGTGATTTGTTTTGAAGCTTAATGAAAAAAATTATATTCCACTGGCTTACGGTATGTTCCCAAGACCCATCCACGGCGGGTGTAGCTGTAGTTCATTTGCTCTCTGCAGTGTAATGCCTGATGGCGTGAACACACCACAGCGCAGTCATTCTCCTGGCGATGGACATTCTGGTTCTCTCCAGATGGTGGTGCTCAGTCCATTTACCATCACGAGCAGTTCTGTTATGAACATGCTTTTGCATCTGGGAGTGGATGGCCACACCTTAGATTATGTTTTTTCAGCTTCCTAAGATAGCATCATATCTCTGGTACAACCCATTATTTTCCAATAATTTTCCAGTATTTTACACCCCACCAGCAATGTGTAAGAATTCCTTATGATCCACATCTTCATCAATACCTGGTATATATCAGACTTCTTAGTTTTCGCCCATCTATATGGCATAAAATGTTATCTCACTGAGGTCTTTATTTGCATTTCCTAAAACTAGCACTAACCCTGAATATTTTTTAAAAAACTGCTTGAGTTAGTAAATGCCATTCTTCCCTTAAGGGGCCTTGGCTTGGGTTCCATCACTGGCAAAAGAAGGGGTCCCCATGAACCAGTAATAGGAGCTTCAGTGTACCTGAAAATCAAATTGTATATCCACGTATTTCCCAAATCTGCTGGAGTTGTCATTCCGGAGCGTTCTGGCATTTCCAAAAGCCTTGGAATACAAAGTGTCATTCACTGTCATTTAAGCTCACCATGCTTGTCAAATTCCTGACCCAAAATAATATAGAGGGCAGAAGGAGCCAGGAAGGAGAGCCACACTTTATCTTCTAAGAAGGAAGCACTAACTACAGAGAATTTAATGCCAAACACTAGATTTGGACCTGGGGAGAAAAAGGGAACAATATCTTCTTCCTGGAATCCAATCTAGAAATATATTGGAAATGGTCTCAGGAGGGACACATAGAACCCTAGGCCCATGCTGTTCTAGAAGGTACTATTGACGGCCCTGTCACCAGACTCCTTTTTATATCACCTTGTTCTGCCCAAAGGGTCCACTGTGAAAATCCCTTCCGCCATAAACATCTTCATTCACAAAAAAGGACACAAAAACACAGGAGAAAATGACTTGTTTGGTACCAGCCAGCAAGTTGGGGAACTGCAATAGTAGAAGTAATCATAACTAAAATATTTTAACTCAATAATAAGAAAACTGTTAATAAATAATACAGTATTTTTGGTGCTTCCTAATTCTGCTGTGCGCTTTTTGTGCATCTGTTTCATTTAATCCTCAAAATGTCTTAGGCTGGGTGCAGTGGCTCATGCCTATAATCCCAGTGCTTTGGGAGGCCGAGGCAGGTGGCTCGCCTGAGGTCAGGAGTTCGAGACCAGCCTAGCCAACATGACAAAACCCCAACTCTACTAAAAATACAAAAATTAGCTAGGAATGGTGGCATACACCTGTAGTCCCAGCTACTTGGGAAGCTGAAGCTGGAGAATTGCTTAAACCCATGGAGCAGAGGTTGCCATGAGCTGAGATTGCGCCACTGCACTCTAGCCTGGGTGACAGAGCAAGACTTTGTCTCAAAACAAACAAACAAACAAACAAACAAAAAAACCCCAAATGTCTTAAAAGGTAGGTACTATAAACATACCCATTCAACAAATGGGGAAGTGGGCTTAGTTCCAGGTCACACCCCTAACTGTGACACTATCCGTGTGACCCATTTTCTTTACAGTTTGACTGACCTGCTCAGATGGGATTTGTCTCACTTAGTGACCTCCCTGGAACTCCCTTCTATTGGTCTCCAGAGATCGCTTACCTCCAGCACTGGGTTGGAGAGCAGCAGTCTGTCACGGGCTATTTGTAGTGACTGTGTCATTGGGCAGGTCACTGCAAAATACTGGAGAATTTTCTTGGAGGCCTCTGTTTTCCCTGCCCCGCTCTCTCCGGAAATGAGGATGAAATGGTTACTTAGTTCAGAGCACATCATTCGGTAAGCGTTGTCGGCTATGGCGTAGCTGGAGGAGTGAGACAGAAACAAATTGGTTTTAATGCTACTTCCCTTGACTCTTGACACCCACCAAGAAGAAAAATGAGGTACTCAACCTCCAGGAAGCCACATCCAGACTGTGGTACAAGGACAATGAGCTCAAACAGATATCAAACCCCTTCCACGGGCTGGGTGTGGTGGCTCACGCCTGTAATCCCAGCACTACGGGAGGCTGAGGTGGGTGGATCGCTTGAGGTAGGAGTTTGAAACCAGCCTGGCCAATGTGATGAAACACCATTTGTACTAAAAAAGATATAAAAATTAGCCAGGTATGGTGGTGCATGCTTGTAATCCCAGCTACTTGGGAGGCTGGGGCATGAAATTGCTTGAACCCAGGAGGCAGAGGTTACAGTGAGCCAAGATCACACCGCTGCACTCCAGCCTGAGTGACAGAGCAAGACTGTCTCAAAAAAAAAAAAAAAAAAACCCAAAAAACAAAAACCCAAAACCAAAAAACCGTCTACCACAACCCAATGACTGATCAAATATAAAGTGTACTAGATGTCAAAACTCAAATAGTAGAAGACGTAAAAGGAAGAATATGAACAGTAATTTTTTTTTTTTTTTAGATGAATCTTGCTCTGTCACCCAGGCTGGAGTGCAGTGGCACGATCTGGCTCACTGCAACCTCCACCTCCCAGGTTCAAGAGATTCTCCTGCCTCAGCCTCCTGAGTAGCTGGGATTACAGGTGTGCGTCACCACACCTGGCTAATTTTCATATTTTTAGTAGAAATGGGATTTTTCCATGTTGGTCAGGCTGGTCTTGAACTCCTCACCTCCAGATCTTCCCGCCTAGGCCTCCCAAAGTGCTGGAATTATAGATGTTAGCCACCGTGCCCTGCCTGAAAATAGTTTTTAAAGTTCACTAAATGTTTTATAAGAATAAGCCAGCTACTCAGTTACATCTCCAGGAGATGTTTTATTAACTGTAGGTGAAAATAACAATCTCATCTAAATACTAAATAATTCAATGAATACAACAAGATCACGGCTGGGCGTGGTGGCTCAGGCCTGTAATCCCAGCACTTTGGGAGGCCGAGGCGGGTGGATCACGAGGTCAAGAGATCAAGACCATCCTGGTCAACATGGTGAAACCCCGTCTCTACTAAAAATACAAAAAATTAGCTGGACACAGTGGTGCATGCCTGTAATTCCAGCTACTCAGGAGGCTGAGGCAGGAGAATTGCCTGAACCCAGGAGGCGGAGGTTGCGGTGAGCTAAGATCGCGCCATTGCACTCCAGCCTGGGTAACAAGAGCGAAACTCCGTCTCAAATAATAATAATAATAATAATAAGATCTCATGTATTTTTTTCCCTCAAAACCTAGAATGCTAAGAACAAAGAGGCAGGAAACCAAAGAGATTAACAAACTTCAGTGATATCTTTAGGACAAGAGGTAAAACTATGATAAGTACTTTATCCTCAAGATTGACACCAAAGCCTGAAGGTATTCCAGGAATATAATCTGAATATGCGACAGAGTTCCAAAGCTATTTCAGCTTTCAATACATGGTGGTGGCCAGGCGTGGTGGCTCACACCTGTAATCTTAGCACTTTAGGAGGCTGAGGCAGGCAGATGGCTTGAGCCCAGGAGTTCAAAACCAGTCTGGGCAGCACACTGAAACCCTGTCTCTACAAAAATTAGCCAGGGTGGTGGTGTGTGCCTGTAGTCTTGGCTGCTTAGGAGGCTGAGGTTGGAGGATCACCTGAGCTCTGGGATGGCAGAATCTAAGACAACAGGGGCAGAATCTAAGACAACAGAGGCAGAATCTAAGACAACAGGGGCAGAATCTAAGACAACAGGGCAGAATCTAAGACAACAGGGCAGAATCTAAGACAACAGGGGCAGAATCTAAGACAACAGGGCAGAATCTAAGACAACAGGGGCAGAATCTAAGACAACAGGGGCAGAATCTAAGACAACAGAGGCAGAATCTAAGACAACAGGGGCAGAATCTAAGACAACAGGGCAGAATCTAAGACAACAGGGGCAGAATCTAAGACAACAGAGGCAGAATCTAAGACAACAGGGGCAGAATCTAAGACAACAGGGGCAGAATCTAAGACAACAGGGGCAGAATCTAAGACAACAGGGGCAGAATCTAAGACAACAGGGGCAGAATCTAAGACAACAGAGGCAGAATCTAAGACAACAGAGGCAGAATCTAAGACAACAGGGGCAGAATCTAAGACAACAGAGGCAGAATCTAATATTAGCCTAGACATCAAGAGGGAGAAAAACTGGAAAATTCAGCAAAGCCTGGGCAAGAAAAAATTGCTCATCTTTCCTTTTTTTTGGTAGTTGTTGTTTTGAATGTTAATTAATGATTAGAAAGTTTGGGCTGGGCACAGTGGCTCATGCCTGTAATCTCAGCATTTTGGGAGGCCAAGGCAGGCAGATCACTTAAGGTCAGGAGTTCAAGACCAGCTGGGCCAACACGGTGAAACTCTGTCTCCTCTAAAAATACAAAAATTAGCTGGACATGGTGGCGGGTGCCTGTAATCCAAGCTACTCAGGAGGCTGAGGCAGGAGAATCGCTTAAACCCAGGAGGCGGAAGTTGCAGTGAGCCGAGATTGCACCACTGCACTCCAGCCTGGGCAACAGAACAAGACTGCATCTCAGGGGGGAAAAAAAAGAAAAGAAAGAAAGTTTGGCCAGTTAGGCATAGTGACAAACAAACAGCATTGTTTTCCAATACGAGGGAAAATTATTTTAAATGGTGAGGTTTTAAGGCCTAAAACTATCCTTAACTTTGTGGATCCTGATATCAACGTGGTTCTATTTCCTAGGCTCTGTGAAATGGCTCTAGAAACACTGAATTAACGTGTAACTAAACAGTGATCTCTAACTACATGTTATTTTAGTTCCTTTCAACTAACTTCTGAATTAAATGAGAAATCTAAACAGATTTGTTTACGGAGTCAGTTACCTGTTAAGAAGGAAACGTGGTGTTTGGAGACGAGCGATCTAAGTTCAGGTGAATAATTCTACCCTGTCAGCTTATGTACAGTGTTACATAAAAACAGAAATTCTGGCCATACTGCAGGTGAGTATGTATTTTCAAACATTTGCAAAAAACAGAATAATATGTTATGTACTAAATATATAATCACTCTTTACAAATTGTTATTTCCATGTGTTATACATGGGGGAGAGGTATGAAGAAATTTGCACCTCTTACAGCTTCTACCAATGAGCAGTCTTCTTAGCCGCTATGATACTCAGGCACCAGTAGATGGCACTCTAGCAATCATCTTCCTGGAGAAGCCATCTCTCCTGCCATACTCTTAAATTTCTCAGCAGTTACACAAAGGTTCTACCTCTTTTCATATTTAAGCTGAGATTCCATGAAGATCTTCTAAAGTTTTCTACTTCTTTGAAAGACTTACTTCATAAGAAGGCAAGGGCTTAAATGAGGTACAGAACCTGATAAACATGCATCAAGGATTTACATGGATAGATGGATGTATTGATGGACAGGTAGGTAGATGGATGGATAGGTGGATGGCTGAATATGTGGGTGGGTGGATGGATGGATGGATGGATGGATGGATGGATGGACAGGTAGATGGATGGATAGGTGGATGAATGGATGAGTGGATGGGTGGGTAGATGGATGGATGGATGGACAGATGCATGGTGAGAAGGAAGGAGAGAGAGAGGGAGAGGAAAAAGAAAAATCTTCCTAGTGATAATCCTGTGAATGCTACTTACACATGTGGTGGCAGTTCAAAGAAATTGACCCCTTGATAAAGTTCCATCTGGCTCACAGTGTAGATTCCAAGCTCCTGGTATGGATTCACAGACACAAGGAGGGTGCCAATATATGTCTAGAGAAATGAGCCAAAGCACAAGTGAGGAATTTTGGGGTGCAAAAGACTGTCACACATTATGATCCCCATGAGTTCCTTCCACATGGAGGCTTTAACATGATAAATTAGACAGGTGGGGTCTGTGCTAGGAATTTACATGGTGTGGGGTATGAGGAAGACAGCAGACAAACAGTTGAGGGATAAAGAAGCTGCAGGGAGAGATCGGTGTTAAGAAAGGTCTACATAGGGTAAGGAGGGCACAAATAATGAAGGCAGGCCATATTAGCAGGCATGGGGAAGGCTTCTTCTTGCGTGTGTGTGTGTGTGTGTGTGTGTGTGTGTGTGTGTGTGTTTTGAGACAGTTTCACTTGCTGTCCAGGCTGGAGTGCAGCGGCTCGATCTCAGCTCACTGCAACCTCTCCCTCCTGGATTTAAGTGATTCTCCTGCCTCAGCCTCCCATACCTAGGATTACAGACATCTGCTGCCACCACACCTGGCTGATTTTGTATTTTTAGTAGAGACGAGGTTTCACCATGTTGGCCAGGCTGGTCTTGAACTCCTGACCTCAGGTGGTCTGCCCACCTTGGCCTCCCAAAGTGCTGGGATTATAGGCGTGAGCCACCATGCCTGTCTGGGAAGACTTCTTTAAGGAGGTGACATCTGAACAGGGCTTGGAGGATGAGGAGCCAACCATGAACAAAGTAGGCAGGAAGGGCATTTCGGGCTGAAGGGACACATGTGCAGGCTAGGGTCACTGGAGGCCATTGTGGTTGAAGCCCATGAGTGAGGGCAGAAGCAAGAAAGGATGTAGAAGATGGAGCAGGCTCGGATCATACAAGCTCTGTGGGCTACCATGAGAAATTAAGATTTTATTCTAAATGCAGTGGATGGCAGAGATACCACCCTCCCCTACTGAAATTAAACATCTGCCCTACAAAGATTTCATGATGAAAACGCCAAAAGCAATTGCAACAAAAACAAACTTTGACAAATGGGATCTAACTAAAGAGTTTCTGCACAGCAAAAGGAACTATCACCAGAGTGAACAGACAACCTACAGAATGGGAGAGAAGTTTTGCACCCTATCCATCTGACAAAGGCTAATGTCCAGAGTCTACAAGAAACTTAAACAACTTTACAAGAAAAAACAACCCCATTAAAAAGTGGGCAAAGGGAACAAAGACACTTCTCAAAAAGAAGACATACATGCAGCCAACAAACATATGAAAAAAGCTCCACATCACTGATCATTACAGAAATGCAAATCCAAACCACAATGTGATGCTATACTATCTCATGCCAGTCAGAATGGCAACTATAAAAAAGTAAAACACACACACACACACATACACACACAGATGCTGACCAGGCTTTAGAGAAAAAGGAACACTTTTACACTCTTGGTAGGAGTGTAGATTAGTTCAACCATTGTGGAAAATGCTGTGGCAATTCCTCAGAGATCTAGAGGCAGAAATACCATTTCACCCAGCAATCCCATTACTGGATACATACCCAAAGTAATATAAATCATCCTATTATAAAGATACACACACACACACACACACACACACACGTGTTCACTGTAGCACTATTCACAACAGCAAAGACATGGAATCAACCCAAATGCCAATCAATGATAGGCTGGATAAAGAAAATGTGGTACATATGCATCATGGAATACGATGGAGCCATAAAAAGAAACGAGATCATGTCCTTTGCTGGGACGTGGATGCAGCTGGAAGCCGTTATCCTCAGCAAACTAATGCAGGAACAGAAAACCAAACACTGCATGTTCTTGTTAATAAGTGGGAACTAAACAATGAGAACACATGGATACATTCTGGGGAGAGGAGGGAACAACACTCACTGGGGCTTGTTGGTGAGGTGAGAGGGCACCAGGATGAATAGCTAGCGGATGCTGGGCCTAATACGTAGGTGATGGGATGACCCACGCAGCAAACCACTGCTGCACATTTACCTATGTAACAAACCTGCACATCCTGCACACGTACCCCTGAAGTTAAAATAAAAGTTGAAGATACAAAAAAGAGAGAAATACTTCGCTAAACTATTACATGAATAGATAACTTTAAGAGGGGAGCGTGTAAACTGTTTTATGGTCCATAAAGGTCTCTCTGGCATTGAATGAAAGTAGGATGGGTGGGCTGGGTGTGGTGGATCACGCCTGTAATCCCAGCACTTTGGGAAGCCAAGGCAGGTGGATCACCTAAGGTCAGGAGTTCCAAGACCAGCCTGGCCAACATGGTGAAACCCCGTCTCTACTAAAAATACAAAAAAATTTAGCTGGGCGTGGTGGTGCACGCCTGTAATCCCAGCTACTCAAGAGGCTGAAGAAGGAGAGCTGCTTGAACCTGAGAGGCAGAGCTTGCAGTGAGCCAAGATCAGGCCACTGCATTCCAGCCTGGGTGACAGAGTGAGACTGTAAAAAAAAAGAAAAACCAAATTAAACACGAAAATAGGAAGGGGATACCAACCAACCTTCTAAAACTGAGCAAGACGCTCCCACTACTGGCACTTACATGCCCAGATTTCAGAATTATACTCTACTCATATTCATGTTTTTCAAGTACTTACTTATATTTATAATATAACCACTAACATAAGGCTTCTTGAAATACAATTATGAATAAACAAAGAGCTCTAAGCTCTTATATAGAAAAAAATTCATATACTCCTTGGAAAATACATCTGGTATTCTCAGATTCTCAGTTTGTAGCTGTTTCAAATACAGGAAACACTAAAGTCTACATTACGATTATGCTATAGCTGGGTGTGGTGGTGTGTGCCTGTAATCCCAGCTACTTGGGAGGCTGAGGCAGGAGGAGTGCTTGAACCCAGGAGTTCAAGACTAGCCTGGGCAACATAGGGAGACTCATCTTAAACAAACCAACAAGGATCACACTAAAATCATTCTAACTAATGTCTCCAAACTCCAGGACAAAAACCAAACAGAGAACCAAAACAGAATTTTTACTAAAACTTCATATTATTTCCATCAGTAGAAATGCAGGGTAGAAGACAGTTTCTGAAATTTATCGGTTCAAATCAGAAGATTTAGCTTCAGGATGATGATCCTACCCTCGCATTTGTACTTCTCTGTACCATGCTATTTTTCCTTTGCCTGCACATAAAATTAGTTTAATTTTTTTCTCTTTCTACAATTAGGGGTGATAATTCTGAAAGTTATGCTGTGGGATATGCACTCTAAGAAACACCTTATTTATTTCTTCTGGTAACCTTGGTTTCAACATATAGATTAAGTCATGAGCACCATTACAACAAAATAACTATAAGACAAATATTTTTAAACCACTTCTGACTGTCTAATTTACTCTTGGCAAACACCCACGTCACACACAGGGACACTGTGAAGTTTACCTTAGAGGAATTTGCCTGATAACTGACTGTCAAATCAGAGTGTGCTGATAAACGGGAGTTTAATAAAAACTGGCTTTTGAATAAAAACTAGATGTGACAAGATCAATCTGAGAAGAGTTTGGTAAGTGCTGCATTCTCGACCCTTGACCATGCATGGGGTGTGGTGGACTGCTCTTATTTTTGCTTGCTTGGTATCTCAGCCCCTCTCTCCCAACAGATTCCTTTGGGGAACCCTCTTCCCCAACTCTTAGTCTATATCATCTGGGGTTCTGACTCCACCCCGCATCTCCAGGGGTGGGCCTGGTAACCCAGCCTGGCAAATCAGAACTGTCTTCATTTCTAGCCATGGGAATTGGCTCAGAGACAGGCACATGACCCAAAGTGGGCGAATCAGAGCTGATTAATGTCAGCTTGGGCCATTTACTAGAGTTTTTTCCAAGAGGATGGGCTCACTTCTCAGCAGCAACCCTAAGCTGATATAATGTCAGCCTGGATCTAAGAGCAACCATCTTGCTGCTGTGCACCTGAGAAGGAAAATGGATGCATAAGAAAATGGATGCATAAGAAAACAGAGCAGAGGTCAGGCACGGTGACCCATTTCTGTAATCCCAGCACTTTGGGAGGCGAGGTGGGCAGATCACGAGGTCAAGAGATCAAGACCAGCCTGGCCAACATGGTGAAACCCTGTCTCTACTAAAAATACAAAAATTAGCTGGGTGTAGATTAGCTGGGTGTGGTGGGGCACACCTGTAGTCCCAGCTACTCAGGAGGCTGAGGCAGGAGAATCGTTTGAACCCAGGAGGCAAAGGCTGCAGTGAGCCGAGATCATGCCACTGCACTCCAGCCTGGGTGACAGAGCAAGACTCTGCCAAAAAAAAAGCGATGGAGAAAGAGTCTCCAGACATCGTCTGAAACTGTAGGTCTAGTCCTGGGACCTACAGTTACAGGCATGGAGAGATTCCCTTTTGTGACTTAGGCTGGTGTAAGTTGGGTTTCTATCATGGGCAACCATAAAAGTCTTAGCACAAAGGATCGAAGTACATCTAAGAGCGGTCCCTCAGTATCTCCCATTAATGTCTAATCTAATAGAGTGATATTACTCAGAGTCATCAAAGTCTTGAAGGCAAGAAGGGAACAACTACCCTAGAAAAACCTCTGAGAAATGGGTCACATTACGTATATGAGATTCTTGCTGAAACGCTTGCGGAGGTTGTCAAGAAAGGCAGATTCGCTGGTGTATGCGTCCAGTAGCACAAAATCCTGAACCCCGACCTTGTCCCGGGCAGTCAGCGCCCCTTCCATGTGCAGACGGATGTGTTTCCTCCTCACTTCTTCTTTCTACAGGAAACAGAAGATTCTTCAGCAACTCGTCTATTTGGTAAAATTTATAGCATGTCTAATGCATGGAAATAACAAGATCCTAAACCTTGGGGTAGTAAAGAGCCAGCGTTAAATTATGCTGTCTTCACTTAGAGCTTACAATATGGTCAGGGATACAAGATCATACTCATAAAAAATAGAAATAGGCCGGGCACGGTGGCTCAAGCCTATTCCTATTTTTTATGAGTAGGATCTTGTATCGGCACTTTGCGAGGCCGAGGCGGGTGGATCATGAGGTCAAGACATCGAGACCATCCTGGTCAACATGGTGAAACCCCGTCTCTACTAAAAATACAAAAAGCTGGGCACGGTGGCGCGTGCCTGTAATCGCAGCTACTCAGGAGGCTGAGGCAGGAGAATTGCCTGAACCCAGGAGGCGGAGGTTGCAGTGAGCCGAGATTGTGCCATTGCACTCCAGCCTGGGTAACAAGAGCGAAACTCAGTCTCAAGAAAAAAAAATAGGAATAGCAGCAGCTGACAGGAACCAAGTATTTACTAAATGCTTGACTTGTACTGTTTCATTCGATCTTCGTTCTGACCCTATGAAATACTATTATGCCCATTATACAGATGAGGAAACTAAGGCACAGGACTGTCATAAGCCACATCCAAGACCTGCCAAAAGATGGAGCTGGAAAATGAATCTAGACAGTGTACCCAGACTTACTTTCCTGACAACCGTGTACTCAATAAACATTTTTTAAATTAATGTTTCCTTTATGTTGATTAGTCAAGCTTGAATTTTCTTTTTCTTTTTTTAAATTAATTTTCCTTTATGTCAACAAATGCTAATTGTGTAAACTCACTTTGTAACTCCCACTTGTGGTGGGGACTTTGGGCCAGAAAGGGACATTCTTGCTACAGAGGAGTATTTAAGGAAGGACAAACTTGGACTGTTCCTCTCCAAGGATGGGCTTCAGACCTCACTGGAGATGCGGTTGTAGCCCACTGAATGGCAAAGAATCTCGGCAGGAAACCAGGGCTGGAGCTGGTTCAGTCACTGGGCAGGCAACAGGAATGACCTTCCTGAGCAGAGCCGCTGCTGGATGGGAGACCATGGAGGGAACCAAGGGAAGCAACTCTCCAGGGCTCAGGTAAGCTGCGGCCAGAGGGCAGGTGTGCACTGGGAGAGGGAAAACAGTAGTAGGTATGAAGCCTGGAGTGTGTGATGTCTGCGTAACAAGGGCTGTAACAAAGTGGTCACCAGGCCCTTGGCCAGAGCTGTGAGGTCACTGAGGGACTATGTGCTCTAGGCACACAGTTAGTGTGTGTCCCACCCACATATCACTGTGCAGCAGAAAGTACACCCTCAACACAAGAAAAAGCAAAGCATAGCAAAGGACATCAGGAGGAGAAGCCTCCTGCCATTGCAATGTCCCTCCGGCGCCCTCTAGTGCCAAAAATGACATTGTGTTCACTTTAAGTAGAAACGCCTCAAGAGTGCAGTTTGTTAATGCCCAGCAGGTAATGAAGGGTGAATTTGGATCTGAGAGGCAATAAATTAACAACTGGCAAATATGGATATATGCAAAGGTCCTAGCACAGCCAAAGCAACTTGCAAAAGAAAAACAAAGCTAGAGTAAGACTGTTTAATAAGACTGTGTGTCAATTCAGTGCAATGGAAAACATTTCTATCCAATAGTGCAGGAACAACTAGATATTTATAAAGAAAAAAACTGCAGTTGGGTGTGGTGGCTCACAGCTGTAATCCCAGCACATTGGGATGCTGAGGTGGGAGGCCGGCCTAAGGCCAGGAGTTGGAGACCAGCCTGGGAAACACAGGGAGACTCTCATCTCTATTTAAAAATATATAAATATAAAAGAAAAAGAAAGTAAAAATGTATTTCAGTCCCTATGTTACATTACACTACACACTACACACACACACATACATAAACTTGAGATGCAGCTTAGACCTAAGTGCAAATTAAAAATCTATATAAAGCTACTGGAAGTAAACAAGGGGACTATCTTTGTTTTTTGGTTTTTTTTGGTGGGGGGAGACTATATTTGTAACCAGAGGAAGGCAAAGTTTTCTTAGATGAGAGCCAGGAAAAAATAATAATAAACAAAACAAGAAATCAGACTTTGTCAAATATAAAGCTTCTCATTAGGAGACACTGTTAAGAAAATAGGCAAGTCACAGACCAGTAGAAAATATTCACAAAATATATAGCAGCGAAGAATTTGAATCCAGAATAAACAGTCCAATAGAAAAAAAGAAAAATGAAAATTTGGCAAAAGACTTAAATGGATATTTCACAAAGGAAGACAGACAAATTGGCAATAAACACATAGAAAAATGGTCAACATTGTTAGTCATCGGGAAAACACAAAACCACAATGAGATACCAGAACAGCTAAAATTAAAACAGAACTGTTCGGAACCTCAGAACAGTTAAAAACACTGACAACACCAAATACTGGCGAGGACGCGGAGCACACAGAATTCTCTTACGCTGCTGGTAGGAAGGCAAAGAGAATCACTTTGGGAAAAGATCTGGCAGCTTCTAATGAAGTTAACCGTGGCTCTATTCTTTGATCCAGCAATTCCACTCCTAAGTATTTACACAAGAGAAATGTAAACATACGTCCACAAAAAGACTTGAACATGAAGTTCAACTCATGCTCAACCTTATTCAGAATGGCCCCTAACTGGAAACAATCCAAATCCCCATCAACTGAAGAATGGCTGTGGCCCATCTGTACAATAGAAGGAGGACAGCAATAAAAGAGAAATAATGGGTACATGCAACAGCATGGATGACTCTCCCAGACATTATGCTGAGTTTGAAAGAACCCAGACACAAAAGAGTCATACTGTAGGATTCCATTGATATGGCACTCTGGGACAAGCAAAACTAATCCACAGTGAAAAATCAGAACAATTGTTGCCTAGTTGGGGAGTTGTCAGGCCAAGGACATTTTTGGAGTAATGGAAACATTCCATATCGTGATGTGGCCGTGGGTGACATGGGGTCAAGATAAATTGTTAAAATTGTGTGCATTTCACTATGTGAATTTTAATTTTGAAAAAGAACTGTAAAAAATAAGTGGTGAAGAGGTGGGGATTGGCTGGAGGTATGAATAAAAACGGAACCACAGAATATTAATTGCTAAAGCCAGGTGGTGGGGAGAGGGGGTTATGATACTACTCTGTTGACTTTATATACATTTGAAGTTTTCCATAATAAAAAGTTTAAAAAAAAAAAACAGAACGGCCACCAGATGTCTCCCTACACTAGCCAAAGGGAGCTAGAAGAGCTATAATCACTAGCAACCTAACATTCAAAACAATGCATTTAGATAAAACACTATTTTAGTGATTCCAGGCTAGGTGTGATGGCTCATGTTTGTAATCCCAGCACTTTGGGAGGCCAAGGTTGGGGGATCACTTGAGCCCAGGAGTTTAAGACTAGCCTAAGAAACATGGTGAAACTCTGTCTCTACTAAAAATACACGAACTAGCTGGGTGTCGTGGTGTGTGCCTGTAGTCCCAGCTGCTTGTGGGGCAGAGATGGGAGGATCACCTGAACCTCAGGAGGCTGAGGCTGCAGTGAGCCATGATTGCACCACTATACTCCAGTCTAGGCAACAGAATGAGACACTGTCTAAAAAAAAAAAATATTTTAGTAATCCCAAGTATTCCCAGGCTGTACCACATTTAGCATAACATAATGATTAAGAATAATAATGAAGACTTATAGCATAATGATTAAGACTTTGGAACATGAGTCTTTCCAAGTTCAAATCCCATCTTTGTTGCTTCCTGGCAGTACAAGCTTGGGAGAGTCCCAAGTCTCTGTTTCATCTCTATAAAATGGAATGATAATTGTACTTACCTCATAGGGTTGTCAGTTTCACCAGAACCGGGTAAAGCACATGGAACAATGGCAGGCACAATTTAAACTCAGTGAGTGCTTGCTTTCATCATTGCTAGTATCAGTAATCACGATTATTAGAAATAGAAACATAGTGGATAGCCTGGGGAGAAATGTCAAATGTGGGTGAAGGGGAGGAAGGCAGCAAAACACACTGCCATGTGTGTACCTATGCAACTATCTTGCATGTTCTGCACATGTACCCCAAAACCTAAAATGCAATAAAAAAATAAATAAATAAATAGAAACATAGTAAAGCAAAAAGTCTGATTAGGAGTCAATGAGCTCATATTAAGCTGGAGGTGGGTTGGTTTCTGAAACAATGTCTAGAGGTGGACCCAGAAATAGCTCAGTCAGGTTGCTACAGGCAGAGGATACGAGATTAACGGAGCTTCTCTCTTAGCCTGGTCCTAAGGATGGGAGCGCGGCGTACTCCTGCAGTCAGCCTAGGAACTTATGTGACTTGAATCCCAAAGAAGTTTGACAAAACCTTGTAGATTAAGTAACATGACAATGATTTTTAACTTGCAAAGGTCAGAGCACACTCCATTCACTTCAGGCTAGAGTTTTGCTTGTTGCAATATTTCAGTTCTAACACCTCAATTTCTTTGTCTGTTGATTTCCAGTTATCTTTTAAAGGGCATGGGAAAACGAGAGTGTCCCAATAAGACTGACATGAACCGTCAAAGGCATGAATATTGGGACATAAGGGAGAAGGGTTATGAAGAAACTGGAGTGATTCAGCCTTGACCAAAATATAATTGAGATTTATCATAAAGAGAGCATTAAACCCAGATTAAATAAGAGGGAGGAAATTAAAGAGATCTTCAATCACACCTAAGAACATTAAATCAAATTAAGTTACATCTACGAAAGAACTCCATCTTTGGGGTGATAAAACAGTGGAGGATCCTAACTGTGCATACCCATGGTGCGAGGATCACAGACTCTGTCTGTTACAGGGTTCTGGCAGTTACGGTGACTGTGAGGTGATGGGGACTGGGTTAGACCCGGGAATGAACGGCCATCTCAGGGGTGTAGCTGCTGTCTGCTGGTTGACATCAGGCACACATACAGGTCTGTGTGTTGCCAGACCTTCTGATTATTTAAATCAGAAGTTTGGAATTATATACGCAGTCCTGTCACACAATTTACCCTTGCAGGACACTAGTCTGCAGCCTCTGCAGCAAGCCACTCTTTGTCTTGGGTGGTTTAGACCTCTTGCTCATCTAAAAGCAAGGGAATCAAGGAAACACTCAAACCAGGACCATTATTTTGGAAGTATCATGTACTCAGGGATGATCTGACCACATCATCTTCTACATAATCAAATGCTTGACCCAGTATGTGGAGTGGAGTGGGGGGTGGGGAGATGACAGGGAGGCCACAATATGTGGAAAGGTGGTCAGATGCCATGGTAGAGATGGAAATGCCTGCCAGCTCTTCCATGGGCTTCCCCATATTCACAAACGCCCTTGCAGTTAGGTGGAGTTGCTTGACTACTTCTGGCCAACTGGCTGTAAATAGAAGTGACATTTGTGCAAGACCCGTCCAATGTTATTAGAACTTCTTTGAGATATATATATATATCAAAAAGATATATATATCTGATATATATATATATCAAAGAAATTTTATATATATATAAAATTTCTTTGATACTGCAGTGACTAAGAATTTCTCTTGTTGAATGGACCAGCCACAAGATCAAAATAGCCTGGATTCCTGAGCCATCACCTAGAGGAGAGACGTCTTGAAGGGTCATCCAGATCCACAGCAGACTTTGTGTTAGCAAGAAATAAACTCCTGTTATGAGAAACTTCTCAGTTTTGGGGCTGTTTGTTATTGTAGCTGAAGGCTGCTTATCCTGACTAATACAGATGGGGAACAGAACTTTCCCATTGAGAGGACAGCAGTTTGAATGTGAGCCACAGTTCTTGCAGGTTAAACTTAGCCAGCTGTTTTGGCAACTGCCCTAAAGTTCTGGAGGAAGAGTAGGGGCTGTTTTTTTAAGGGGAGAAGAGGGTGAATGATAAGCCCTGAAGCTGTCATTTTTGAATTTTATTCGAAACTTCAAAATCTTTTGTTTAAGGGAAATGTTATAAGAAACCTCAATATGTAAAATTGAGTTGATTTCCTCAGTAGGGGTTGAGAGTTTCACTGGGTTGCCCCACAGAAACATGGGAGGGGGTCTGGGGGATGCCTAGGGCAGAGGAGA